AATAAAATTCCAATACTACATTGATAGAAGGATTTATTAACTATTAATAATTTGATTTATTTGAAGACAATTATTTATTTATTAAATTTTAATAAATATCTTTTAACATTCAATATTTATTTGAGAGAAAAGTACATTTATTAGTAGTTAATAAGTATTTATTTATAGTTAACAAATATTTCTTAACCATTAATAAATATTTTATCAAATTTAAAAGCTCCAAAGGTTTTATTTTTTTTTCTTTATACAATAAACTTCCAATACTATTTATTTTTTAAAAATATTCTTCTTCGCACAAACATAACTATAAAAAAGTTGAAACTCCTCGCAATATTTATCAGCACAGCCATTCTAGCGCCCTCCGAAGCTAATTTGGTACTTATTCTGAGTTTAAGTTTCGATAGCGAGTGTGAAGTATTTCTCAAAGATGTCTCGTTAGATAAAAATGATATAAGTTAGCAAGCAGTAGTAATAATAATAATAAAATAGTAAAAAAGGGAAAAACTATGTGTTCATCATGATTGCCTAATTTATTTTCGCTGACTCCAGAGCAAGACCGTAAGAAAATAATTTTAATAAAAACCCGAAGACTGGTAGTGCTACTACCACTTATACTACTTGAGGTCTTGCTTGAATTTATTCACTCTGCAAATATACCCGTATTAAATCATTCATTTTAAATCCCTTTTACACAGGACAAGCTTTAAGCGGCGGCGCACCGAACGGGCGAAAAACTAAACGCGAGACCCGGAACTGGGAAAGGGGACCAAATAACCGAGATAAAAAAGGCATTTATGAACTTTAAAGAAATGTCATAAGAAAATGTTTAAAAATCAAAATAAATAAATAACTAGGTGGCGTTGTGCTCCAGCTACTTGTACTCACTGGGAATATTAAATAAAATATATATATATATTTTATTGGCAAAAGGAGGTAAATGGAAAATGCAAATTTTATTTCGCCTCACGCGAGTTTTCAAGCGAAAGCTAAATTATCGTCGCTGAACGATCACCAGCTGCCGTGAGCTCCTTCTCGGGACTACCGCACTAGGTAGCTAAGGGGGGAGGGGAGGGGGAGGTAACCGACCTGAGCCAGACTAGACCTAAGGCACTTTTTGCAGGAGGTTCGTTTGGTCGCACGACAGCCCGGCGAGGCTCTCTAAACTCCTGGGATGACATCAGTGCCATTACAATTCCGGAGAGCCCATACGTGCCACCTGTACATTGTACGCCACGTACAACTATTCGTTCGCCGTTCGTTCACTTCCGCGCGACGTGATTTTCATCCGAAAATCACCCCTAAAATCTTCTTCACTCTATTCCATTATATTTTATCTCTTTATTCTCAATATATTCAAGTTCGGTGACTGTATGCCCGTCGAAATAGCTACCTAGACCTACACCTGCACCTACACCTATCCCAATCCTGGTACTCTTTTTTATTTTATTTTATTTGGGCTCCAGCCTCACACCCGCAATCCCACATCCCACATCCGGGTGTCAATTGAATGTCCATTGTCGCGATCCGCCTTGAATAATATTAACACAGATAAAAAATCTTTATTTTTCTACAGTGACAGAAGAATTTATTAAATGTTAATTTGGAAAAAAATTTATTAATTTATTTCAAATAAATTTAGTAAATATTTTTTGGTATAAATTATCTATATTATTAAAAGAATAAAAAAAAATTTTGTTTCCAGGATATAGTCATATGATAAAATCGGCTTTTTTAGTGACATTGCAAAGGTCTTGACTTGAATTTGTGCCTTTTAAAAGTTTCATATCACTCTCACCGATAGTCAATTTATGATGATAAGTATTAAGGCTGCATTCGAAAATGCTTTATCTCTAGATACATAATTAAAAAATGACCTTGTATCTTATGAACGATTGACATTTCTTAAGATATAAGCTCATCACAACATTACACTCATCGGGACCTTTCATTTGAGTACCCACATCAATTTTTCATATATATTTATACATATGTATATATGAAAAATATATCAAAATGTGTGTGGGTACTCAAATGAAAGCTCTTGATGAGTGTAAAATCGGAATGAGCTTATATCTTAAAAAATGTCAATAATTAAGAACTGGCTTTGCTATCTTGTCAACTATTGACATTTATAAAGATATAAGCTCATCCTGACATTACACTCATCGAGACCTTTCATTTGAGTACCCACATCAATTTTTTATATATTTATATATATTATATATATGTATATATGAAAAATATATCAAAATGCATGTGGGTACTTAAATGAAAGCTCTTGATGAGTGTAACATCAGGATGAACTTGTATTTTTTAAAACGTCAATATTTAAGAAAGTACACTGCAATTTAACAAAAGTCATTATTTAATAAAATTTTAATTTCTTATAGTTCACAAGTCATGGCAGTCACTTAGTGACTGCAAGATTGCTAGTATTTATTAATACTTAATAAGTGTTAATTAAAAGTCGATAAATATATGTGTTACTGAAAATTTTTCAAACAAATTATTCTCTCCTATTCATTATTATTTTTTTATAAAAAAAAAATTATCGAGTTCTAATCCGTTGAAATTTTTTTTTATTAAATTTATAAAAAAATATATTAATAGAATTTTTAGATTCATTTTTTATTCAAAGCTCCAAATTATTTTTTATTAACAGAGTTAATAAAAATATAAATAAATCCTTTTATCAGTATTTCACCAGGATTTATTGGAATTTTTATATTTATTCAAGATTTTTCAGACTTATTTTTTATTTAAGAATTCAAATAAATTTATATTAATATAAATTTTTTAATAAACTGCTAATAAATATTTATTGAGTCAAAAGAAAAATTTATTAACATTTAATAAAGTTTCGTAACTATTATTAAATTTTTCTATCAATGTACCTCCTTCTAAAAAAATAAAAATAAAGACAGCCGTGACCCAATTGCTTAAAATCTTACCTGTCACGTCTGACCCAAAAAAACACCGCCCGTAAATAAAGAGCCGTGTTGTGGCGATTTTTCGAGCCACTGGCGACGGCGACGGTTGTCTTTCCTCCGAGAGGAAAAACAGAAAATAGAAAACAGAGGAGATAAAAACCAAATGAGAGTCTGCTCCAATCCGAGAAAAACAACGTATTGGTGCATCCAGACAATCGGCAAGCGCTCACTTTTAGCGCGAGGGAATGAATAGAAGAGACTTGCGTGGTGGGTATAAAACAGGGATGACTCTCACCCACTACACCCTTTGCACGGCGCCAGCGTCCCATGCAACTCGAGATAGCACCCCGCAAAGCTCCATGCTAGTCTCGTGCGACTCGCGATCCGAGAGACGAGAGCTCCTGGTGTAGCGCGGAGTGGTAAGCACCCCTCAGATTCGCCGACACTTTACTCCGAGCTACCACTTTCCTATCGTTTATTCTTAACTTCCTCTCCTCTTTACTGGTTTTTATTTCATTTTTTGGGGATAGTTTTTTCGTTGTACTCTTCTTCATTTACGAGCTAAGAGACACCTTTTTATTTACATCTCAGTGATTCTTTGGATACGTCGCTCTTAGTGATTTTTTTTAGTGAAAATAACATTTTTTTATTATAAATAAAATTTCTTCGGAAAAAATATTTATTTAGAATAAAAATTCTTCTTAAAAATTCGGTAATTTTTTAAATGTGCGCCTAAAAAAAATTGACAAATTTTTCTTTATTTTTATAAATTTAAAAAATTATAAAAAATTTTTTTTTAATTATTTAATTGTTTTGTATTCTTAAAAAAAAAATAAAAATGAGACTTAAGATTGATTTTTAAAAAGTTTAAATGAAAAATAAGACAAATATTCATTTTTTTTTTTTTTTAATTTAATAAATGTAATCATTAATTAATTTTTTATAAATTACTAAATTATGTTAAAAATAAAAAAAAATTAATTTTTTGATTTTTTATTATTAAAATAATATAAATGTTAAGCGTATATATTTTTTCTGTCAGAAAAAAATTGATAAATTTTTTTAAACAAAAATTTTAACTTAAAAAAAGCTCTAAAATTTTTTAATAATTTTTAAATGATTAAAAAATGTCACCACTAATTTAAGGTAACAAGAAAGCCCTTACTAATTGCTGCAATCTTAATGAATTATTTATAAATCGTTAAAAACACGCGACGTAATCCCTTTGGCGGGCATAAATAATTTATCAGCGGTTAAATGAATAGTTGTGATTATTAATTATGTGGTTATTTAAATCAAACTGGCGATTATGCAATAAATTATCGATTGATGAATTAATAAAGTAATTAGCTGTTAAATAATTGAATTTCCCGGGCAATTAATAGTTTATTGACAGCCGGTCGATAAAAATTTTCCACCTGTACGATCGCATTGTCGCGGATTGTAATTTCGCATAGTTCTACCGGCCCTAGTTTACTGCAGAGCGGAATCGAATAGTAGAGAAGAGAATAGATCAGATCGAGTGCTCTGGTGTCGAGTCAATGGGTGCACGAAGCACATACCAAGTGAAATTGTTTTAATCAATCTCCATTAAATTTACAACTTGCAGCTCAATGTAACACCCCCCGAACAAGATTTAGGGCTGAGTAAATCCCTCCTGGACACGGCGAGTCTCCGACTGGCTCGTCTTAAAGGCTGTATAATTAATTGAGTGGGCCAATAGTCTGAGAACTAGACAAACTATTGCTTGTAGATGCCCAACTCCTGACTTTGATTCAGACAGTCGAACAATCGATCGTCAAGGCAGCGCAGGGCTTTGTAATAATTAAAACAATGTTCCAGACTGTAAAATAGAACTCGCAATTATTATCATCATTATTATTTTTACTTTATTCCGGTCCTACTTCACTTGCCTGATCAATCTTTAATCATCTTACTCTAGTAGAGATTAAATTTAGTGCGATTGCTACGTTTTAGTTCGTTTCGAGTTGGATCGAGTGACAGTGAACTATAAACACTCGGGCGAATACTTGGATTGTTAATAGAGAAGATACAAATTGTTATTTCAAGATGCTGAAATTTTGCTCCCCGAGTCAGCGAAGGCGTAACACCATGGTGAGAACATTAACAGGAAAATTTATATGCATTACCTGATCCCTTTAGAATTTATCACATCATCGCGTCATGTTATAGTGTTAAGATTATCTTTTAAGTTTAATTGAAAATTTGTATTATTACTGAGGTAAGAAGCAGTGATTTTGCACGGTAATATAGTCCTGATAAATTTAAAGGAGAACTCGGTAAATTTTTAGGTCAAATTTACTTTTTATTGATTTATAAAAGGTTCCACATTAACTGATCTCACCTACCGCCATGAAAAAAAAATATATTTCGAAATATATAAAAAATATGTATAGTAAATATATTTTTAATAACTAACTTTTAGCCGATTTTCATACATATTTTATATATTTTATATGTATTTTAGTTATATTCAAGATATATCTTAAAATACATAAAAAGTACTTAGCCCAAAATATACCTAAAATATATTTGATATATATAAAATATATATGAAAATCGGCCAAAAGTTAGTTATTAAAAATATATTTACTATACATATTTTTTATATATTTCGAAATATATTTTTTTTTCATGATATATAGAAAATCGGCCAAAAAGTTAGTTATTAAAAAATATATTTTTTATGTATTTCGACATATATTTTTTTTATATTTTTATTTTTCATGGGGGTAGTAAGAAATTTTGCATCATTGTGCTAAAAAGTGTTAAATATTTGACATAAAATCTTTATAAAATCTCACACCTTTATAAAATCTTTAAATTTGATATGGGTAACAATCCAAGTTTTACAATTGGAAAAGTGTCAAATTTTTGTAATTATAGATTTATTTAATGTACAATAATTAATATGATGGTTAAAAATTATTAATTATATTTTTGTTTACGAGAAATGCTATAAAAAAAGCTTTTTTGAATTTTCTTGAAAGTTTATTACAATTTTAAAGAAAAAATTCATATTTTTTTTTTTTTTTCTATAAAAGATTGTAATTGTTAAAAAAAATTAATCTATAAATATTTAAATGTTTTTTTGCTTTTTTCTTTTAAATTGTTCTAAATTAGACAGTTTATTTTTGTAAAAATAAAATAAAATGTCTATTTAATTACAAAATAACCATTTTACTAATTTTTAAGAATAATTTTTACCCGTATGATTTAATTTTCCTTCAAAGTACTTTAATTAAATTATCGACCAAATGATTGAAACAAAGTTCAAAGGAACAAAATAAAATAAATAACGAAAAGCAATTGAAGAAGTTGATAAAAGTTAATAGAAATAGATCGAGGAGAAGTTTGTCTATTGTTTGTTGTTACAATTGGACTTTGTTATATAAAGTTGTTTTGTAAATGTGTGTTCAGGTAAATCCGGGCTCGAAAGCTGCTCAACAAGGAGTCAGAGAAGGAGACCTCATTAGCAGCATCAACGGGAGAAACACTTCCGAGCTGACCAACGGAGAAGCTCACACTCTACTGAGGAATGCCGGTGACCAGCTCAAACTAGGACTCAATCAGTGAGTTTATATATTTTATATTTAATACCATCATAGACATAGGATATATTATGCTCGTTATCCTCGTTCGTTATACCGTAGCCTGGCAGCTGTCAATACAGATACACACCGTGTGTATTTATATTTAATAAATGTGTATGGATGCTCATTGAAACATTAAACCTGAAAGAGGGAAAAAGCACAAAGAGAAAAAATTAAAATAAAAATGAAGGAAAAATCATCCGGTGCACACATTATGTATATAACATATGATATCTCTGAACCAGTCATAAAGATTATATCTGGTTGAATAACGACGGGTAAGCATCCGCGTGTGCGTTATACTCGCTGTTGGCTGCTCGGTGTACTGGCTACAACACCATAGCTACGGTTAATGAATGATACGTATGTCGATGGCATCAACTTGTGCGCTAATAAGTGATATTGGCAGGAACATTAGCGAGATTGCTTTCGATCGATAAACTCGTGCCGATGTTAGCTGATACACTTTTTTACTGTCGCTCGAGCTAATTATCTCCATTATTTAAATCATTGATTTTTAATTAGGGTTATTTTTAAAGCAACCACCTAAGGTTTACATTCTCGGCTTGTTTTTCTTTTTGCTTTATAAAGTTAAAAGATATTATTAAATTTTTGCCTTGAAAAAATTTAATTTTTTCAAGAATTACCAAAATCTTAGTCTCGAATTTAATTTATTAGAATTTTTAATCAGATTTTAAGATTTTGAGCCCTAAAAAGAGCCATTCTTTGGTATTAATTTTTAATAAAGTCGTTTTAAAAGTATCCAAAAAAATTTTTTTTTCACATTTTTGTTGAATAACTTTTTAATTTTTCAACCAATTGGCTCAGAACCATGTATAGGTTTTTTATGCTTAAAAATCTACGTTGAATGCCGTCAAAAAAATAAAAATTAAACGCCGCGTTTAAAAAATATCACAGATTTTGAACCCTGAAAAGTTATTTTGATTATTTTCCGTATTAATTTTTTTTAAAGTCGGTTCAAAAATACGTTTTTGTTGAATAACTTTTTAATTTTTCAACCAATTGGCTCAAAACCATGTATACGTTTTTTCTACTTGAAAAACTACATCGAACGCCGTTAAAAAAATTAAAATTGAACGCCGCATTTAAAAGATATCGCAATTTAAAAATTATTAAAAAAAATTTTTGCCTTGAAAAGTTCAATATTTTTTAAAATTACCAAGTTATTTGTTTCTAATTTAATTTTATCAGAATTTTTAACAGATTTTAAGATTTTGAGGTCCCGAAAGTCATTTTGACTACTTTTGGAATTAATTTTTTTTAAGGTTGTTTCAAAAATACCAAAAAAAATTTTTTTAACTGTTTTTGTTGAATAACTTTTCAATTTTTCAACCAATTGGTTCAAAACCATGTATACGTTTGTTGCACTTAAAAAGCTGCATCAAACGTTGTCAAAAAAATGTAAATTAAACGCCGCGTTTACAAAATATCGTAATTTAAAAATTGTCAAAAAAGTTCAATTTAAAAAAAAGAATTCTTTTGAAAATAAAACAAGTTTGAGATTAATAAAAAAAAATTAAATGAGATGATATATTATGATAAAACAAATTAGTTCTCCATAAAAAGCAACGACATTATTTATCTCTAAAAATGAAGGAATGAAAGAAAAAAATATGACTTTTGTCTGAAATAAAAGTAAACTTCCGTTTTAGACGGGATTAATTCTATTAGACGTTTCACTCAGCGGAAATAATGTTTTAGACGTTTATAATAATCATAAAAAAAAAAAAAAAAAGATAAAAAGGACATTTATTAAAAGAGTTTTTCTGGATATGGAATGAATATATATGGAATGAGATAAAAATGGTTGATTTAGTTTTGTGTGCTGATTGGGACAGGAATTACGGGGAACGGATGTCGGCAAGAGGACCGGAGGGAAAAGGGTCACCAGATGAGGGAGCGCCGACATTTGTATATTTATACATATATTTTCTACCAACTCAGATCAATTGTTCGGTTTTAAATGCTTGCAAGTATGTAGATCGTGTGTGAATATGTGTGCACGTTGTAGATGTCAGCAGTGCGGGCTAGGAAGGGGTTAAAAATAAAAAACCGTGTGCATCCAGACGGAACCGTGTATCGGATCTCCAGGAATCCATGACAAATGGCTACTCGTTAATGTACCGTGTACTCTACTCAAATATATCTATTCGAATTATTATTTTGTTTTAGTGCTACTTATGTGCTTTCGTTTAAAGGGAAGTGCTTTTCATTAATTTACTTCATTTCGTCGGGTTTTATTTCCACGGTAATTTCATTTATTATTCAATTTGGCTTAGCATAATTTTATTTTCATCCACTTTTTTAATTACCGGAATTTTTAAAAGAATTTTTAAATAGCTGGTTGAATTGGATCCCTTGTAATCCATTTTAAAATAATTGCTAGACCAAAAATTGTAATAGAAAAATTTTTTTTTCCCTTGATTATATCAAAAGGAAATCTAACAAAGTTCAAATTTATTTTTAAAATTGTCTGGATTAATTATAGTATCAATTTTAGTAAACTTTTGTTGACCTGTTTATTTAAATTATATTTAAACGTACGATTCGAAATATTTAATTAAAATTTAACGGAATAATTGAATTTATTATTAAGTTACAAATAACATGAGTATATATTTGCAATAAAGTTATGTCTGCTATTAAAACGCTTATAATTAAGTTATAAATAACGTCCCATATTTGTAATCGGGTTACATAATTCAGATATTCAATAATTTACAATAATAATATTTAATTAACAAACAAATCTCCCGTGCAATGCCGGATTTTTAAAATTAAAATTAAACGACCTTTACTCAGTCGTTAAACCGATTTTAGAATTACAAAAAAAATATTATTTTATTTTTTAATTATCCTCGGTATTTATCAAAGCGTAATTGATGTAATAAAATAAATATTTAACCAGTAAAAAAACGATAATTTACTCGGGAAAAGTCCTCGTGAATGAAATGCAAGTCTTGGTTTTACATTCGCATCCCGAGTAGAGGTTAATACGACACTGAAGCGGTTGAGGTTACCTAGATGTCGCTTCTCCAGGGCTTTTAATTGGCTCGCTTTTTCCCTCAACTTTATTTTGGCAATTAAAATTTAACAATTTAGATTTAGACGAAATCCGAGAGTTGATTAAAAAAAAGAGCAAGTTGTCGTGTTATTAATTCACGGGATAAAAGGCAATTCGAGACATAACAATTGATTGACGAATGTTCAGCCGAAGAGTCCGATATTCACGGGCCGTCGGAATCTGAATAATTAAACTTTGAAGTAACTTGGGTGTAACTACTCGGGCGTGAAGTTTATTTTTAAAGTAAAATTCGTTCGAAACTGACAAGAGCTTCAAACGTCGGTTTAATGTTAGATGGAATGGTTATTGTTCATGATTGTAAAGATTAAATATTTATGTTGAACAGAGAACAAGCGGAATCGCCAAAACGACGAATATACAGAAGCAGTCTGCAGGAAAATACGTCTATCGAAACATTACAGAGTAAGTACACAAAATAAATTCTAAAAAGTTTGGAAAATCCAAAAGTGCACGACTCATAATGCTCATTTAATTATGAAATATTAAAAAAAAAACAAGTCGTTCAAAATTAGTTGCCGAAAAAACAGCTATACTAGGAAGGTAATGCACAGGCGCCCCTGGTGGAATAAACATAATATGTATAGATAAATCACCATCCATGTAAATTCTATATGGATATACAGTTTTCTGGCTTTTTTATTTTGTTAATTGTACATGAATGACACTGAATTATCTAACCATTCGCATTCGGTGACCTACAATTTTCTTTAAGAATTTAAAATAAAAAATTTAACTTAATTGATGCATTTTTTGGCAAGTTATAGTGTTTTCAGAGTTTTATACATGACAGACAGGAAAATTTTTTGACCTATTTTGATGTTTTTTTCCATTTCTAGTGCACTAAATCAATTTTTGAAAAGTGTCAAATTATTTTGACAATAGTATGCAAAATATCTTGATTCCGTGAACTAACAAGACTATAATAATGAAAATAGTTGCCGAAATGAGGCAAAAAAAATTTTTCGATCGTAAAGCACTCTCTGATGCTTCGCATCATGAGTCGTGCAATAGTCCAACCAGAAATCCAGATCCTGAATTGAAAAGCAACATGCCTCTGAATTTGACCTTTCAGAAACAACCAAAACAACGACGACCACCACCAAAACACTGGGAACCCGGATCTTTACCGACACAAAGCTAAACGGAACGGGAACTGGAACTGGAACTGGTAAGTGGTTAACAAAGAAATTGCCCTTTAGCTTCTATTTTTCCCAATTCTGGCAATAGTTATAGTTATAGTTCTAGTTCTGGTTTTTTTGCTCGGTCTTGTCCAGCACTTACGAGTCCACTCGATTAATCAGCAGGTCCAGCCGGGTTTAACGAGCCATGAAGGTCGTTAGTCTCGCCCGAACTGCCATCACGTCGAAGATTATGAAATTACTTGGTGAAGATGTCCACAATCCTCTCGACAATCCCCGTGATGAGTATCCAGGATCTAGGATCCCTCTGTCTCTCTATCTCAATACCCACTAGACAACATAACGGCTCGAGCCATATTGCTCGAGCCAGCGACCCTCGAGAACTTTCTTAAGAGGAGTTTACGCGAACCAATATAACCCCGGTTTTCCGGCTTACGTCTTGTGTCTTACTCAAAGCAAAGAGCCTCTCTTTCTTCCCAAAGACTTATCCGCTTACGCTGCTCGTGAGGTTACCGTTATGTACTACTTAAAACGAATTTCTGTCGCCGCAACGTAATCAATTACTCCTCCACAGGCATTGTTCCGTTCCCTCATTTCTCAGCCAACAAGTTTCCCGATCCTAAGTGAGCTAATAAATAGATCCTGCTCAGCTGATTGACTCTCAAATTATTATACCTACTACCTACCACCGAGGCTGATAAACAAACAACAAAAAAATAGAGCAGAGCAATCCTAATCATAAGGAGTTATTGTTATGCACCGATTACGATTCCCGGCGACATCAGACACGTAGATCGATCAAATTATACGGCCAACTTCTGAAGACACCATACGGGATTCAGTGAACCGGTACCTGTACATATTACATTGCATACAACACTTAACACATGTACAATCAGAACATTAGAGAACGCACAGGTTTCCTGGCAGGTACACGCCCACCGGTGATTATTTGGTACGCAAAACGGCAAGACGTTGTTTATAAACATACCGTATATATCAGCGTGTAATAGCAGTCAAAGACTCTGACGAGCTGGCGCACCCTAGGCACTTAAGTTCGTCAATAGGGAGCAACGGTCTTTATCCTTTTTCGGCTCTCTAGTTCTCAAGTGGTCGTCATCCAGTGCAAGCCAAGTGCCTTATTCTCTACCTAACTTGGCATTATAAAATACAATAGTTAAGACAATATATGTGATAGGAGTTTTAGTTTAGTTATTTTTGACACTAGGTCAATACAACTTCAACGAAAGACGTCGAGGATGATTTATAGTTAATGAAATCCAAGGAAATAAAAGTTTATTTCCTTCAGTCACTCCAACTGTCATTTAGCAAAAAAGTGTTTAAAAATTAAATTTGTTTTGAAGATTAACTGCCTTGGTAATAATTAAACGTTTTTGAGAACTTTCTCCTGGGAGTTATTTTTGGAAAAGTTTTGTGCCAGTGTTGATAAGTAGTTTAATTTATATTTGCAAAGTTTGGCTTGACAATGAAATTCCTGAATTGCTCGCAGTGCCTGAACGGGATTGAGGAGGCACGATCTACGGTGATGTCGAAGCCTCCCTGCGATCCACTTCTGATCACAAAGCGGCCGGGACCAAACGGTGGGAATTCCCACCGGAGGATATCAATCCCGGTGGAATTCCATCGAGGTAGTTCCGCTCGCGTACCTCGGCTGCCAAAGATGCTGAGAGTTGCATTTAATGCTGCATCTCTCCGTGGAGGCACTCGGAAACCTCCCGCTGATAATACCAGGTTTGGTTACTATTGTTATGGCGAGGGCGGTTGCCAACAAGGAAAATCCCTTGGCAATTCGTTTGCCAGGAAACGCAACAAGCGGAAGCTTTTCGCCAAGAAATCGCTTAAAATTTCCCAGGGATCGTGCGCTCATGAATTTTTTACGGTAAGTGAGGACAAAGCGAGCTTGCACTCTCATTCACAGCGCCAAAACAACGTGAATAAAGAGTTGGATGGAAGAATTTCGGCGTGCAAAAGAGAAGACAATGTCTTTGAAAAGTGCGAGGCGCTCAAGTTTCTTTTGAGTTCACCGCAGTGTTACACCCCCGACGACTCCTGGAATTTGTACACCTCTAGTTCGACCTCTTCCTCTTGCGAGTCTGGCTCTGGCTCTACAGTGTCCTCCTGTCGCTTGGAAACCGCGGGCAACACAAGTGCCAACACCAAACTCAACAGCTTGGACTTTCAGCGGGTGAACACGGTCCTGCCGGATGAATCCAGCTGGAAATTCCTCTCGAAGAAAAAGTTTGGAGTAACCGAGCGTGAGATAAGCCGGAGATGTTTTCTCAATGGCCTCGATCTTGTGGTGCCTCGTAAAATCGATGAGAAACCGATGATGAGTATTTTTGAACTAGATTCGGGTGGAGAAGGGGTAAAGTCTTGCTTGAATCGTCGCTCAGAGTCTGGTTATTTGCGGAAACGCAAACCGAAGAGCGTGAGATTTTTAATAGACGAGGAGGCGAATAAAAATAATAGTAAAAATGAGGATATTGAAAACAGTTGCTTGAAAAATGTGCTGGAGGTTGACGGAAGTTTAAATGAAAATATTTCGAACAAAGTGGAGCATGAAAATTTCAAACTTTTTACGCCAGCGAGCATTACTGTAGGACCATTCAAAAGGCTTTCTCGGGCTTTTATTTCTACTTCTGCTTCTGGTTTTGCTGATGGTGATGGTGACGATGTTGACGTCGAGACTAAAGCAAACATTTCCGACTTGAGAATTATAAATCCGACGTTAGAACTTGAAATGACGGGTACTCGAGAAACTAAAGAGACGAAAATGAGAAACTTAAAAGCCGATATAAATGGAGTTACCAGTTTTCACTCGGGGATTAGTCAAGAAGCAGATAACAATGGTGATCTTACCTCAATGCCGAGGGATAATGCCCTCGGTCAGAGTTTGAATAGCAATCTTAACCGGATTCTCTCTGCAGATAGAGATAAATGCGAGTCTGACCGAGGTTGGGTATTCGCAGATGGAATTAACCCGACAGATAGACTGACAACAGCAGCAACAGCATCCGGAGGATGGGGAAGGGGCTCGGGCGCGTCAGGTGTCAGATCACCAAATGGTATGTCCAAATATATATTATTTACAATGAATTAACATATCACCAGCAAGACACGTGTAATTAGGGCGTTTTATAATCACCATGAGAGCCAATTAAAAATAAAATGACGCTCGGTAATGCTCGGTTAATCACAATCCCAGGACCAATGATGCGTACAATCGAATCTCTGTAATAAGTCATGCATAATTACGTAGCACTGGCCCGGCTGATGCTTCGAATAAATCGATTTCGGGGGATGGTAAATGGGTGAAACTAATCAATATCAATCTAACTATATCTATCTGTCTAACTTATATCTATATAACTCAGCATACATACAGCTGTTGGTTGGTTGGTATCATCGGTAACTAGTTGGCTGTATTATATACATGACATCCACATATATAACACTGTTTGGAGCGAGTAGTGTCCGCCCAAACATGGGTGCGTCTCCGTCATGGCCCGAAGGAGCCGAGCCCATGTAATGCTCTTGTACTGAGTGTACATCAGCATGTTCTCCCCCTGTTCCTTCCACCCGCGGAATTTAACAGTCCCCAGCCCTTAAACGATCGATCCGTTTATCTACACATGCTCCCACCGAATTACACAACGAGATATCGCAAACAATAAAGCTTCCGGTTTGTTTTTTCAAACTTTAAATCATTTTTATTTACTTATCCGATAATTGCGAATCTAGACTCTCGTAATTCGCAATGCAAACCTGTCGATAGCAGACTCATGCTAATAAAACGGGTCCAAAAACTCGGGAGCTTTTCAATCATCAAATTGTCTTTTAAATAAATGTATATGTCTGTCTCTGTAACTATAACTGAAGAGAAGCGAAGGAAGAAACCGCAGACGAGAGTCGGGTTGAGTTGAGTTGAGGGTAAAAGTATTACAGTTGAATAACAAGCTATCGATTGCTGAGTGGCTGAGCTTGGTTATTCTTCAGAGTTTGCGGAATAGCTGTTCTGTGTCGGAAAAGTGAAGAAGATGCAGCCGCTGAGGAAATTATCCAGCCCTTAGCTCTGTCTCAAGAGACCCCAAACCTAATTAAATAGTCTCTGCGCTACTATAGATACGGGCGAATACCCACCCACCCACTGCTTCTACCGCTGGCAGATAAAATGTGGGAGGAAATAGGAAGAACTTGAGGACCTGAAAGGGGTGGCAAGACACGGGAGTCCGCTCTACTCCGGTTCTAATGAAGACCATCCACTCGTAATTCAATCAAAAGTTTAAACTCTTCTCGGGATCCCTCGGCGATGAGCCCGCTCAATCTAGAAACTGTGTCAACATAATCCGTCAAACATTCTAGCCCAAAGTTGTTGTAGTTTTCAGAACAGATCTAGTTGTCTCTTGGATCGCTCTCTAATGGATAACTTTACCGAATAAATTAGCTTTCTTGGTGATTTTTTTGAACAAAAAAATCACGAACGCGATTATCGGTGTCGATTACCTCGTCGGGTTGCAGATTGCAGGTCAGAGGTTCGCGTGTCAGCGCGTCCTGTAATGAAAGGGCTCGATCCAGGATAATGTCGATGGGCGTATTTTTCGAAAGCCGGGAAAAATTTCGCCACGCCGGAGGCTAAACTCCCCGAGCTATCCACACTCGTGGCTTCAAAGGGGAGGCAGAAGAGTGTGTGCTCACCGATGAGTGTCAAGTGGGAACTCAATATTGTGTGCGTTGCTCCGGGCGGACGGAAGTTGGTCTCGGAAGTCCCGACACCGTACATAACTAAACATCGCGCACCAGAATATAACATTGCGGACACACAACAGAACATTGCTGGACATAATAAACCGTGTGGGTATGAGTAGTGGGACACGGCATTGAGGAGCATAAAACACACACCAAAGTCGCTTCTCTGTTCTCTATCCTCATTTCCACCATCATCGTCATCAGCAGCAGCAGTACTGGAAGCTTGCTCTGTAAAGGCGCGTTAAATGTGCGCGTGTGTGCTCAACTGCGCCCTCATGTTAATTCCAGACACGCGGGATAGGAACAGGAGTGTTCGTCACTCTTGTTGGGCATGTAGGTGTTGTTATATGTTATATCATGCACCCAAAAGGCTGACCAGTTACTTTTATTGTTGAAACTCAGTTGACTATTCTGTCAATGTTGTACTTGTAATCAAGCTGTTGTTCGGAAAGCTGGAAGGGAGAAGGGAGGAGATATGGGGGCAGCTCACTGTCCAAATCACGGCACTCACAGCACTCACGGCTCACAGTATTATCGCAATACTTGTAACTCGATGACCAGGAGCTCGGTTGGGTTTATCAATTGCTGGTCACTGTAAACACTATCTGGTACTTTGTTTGTCATATATTATTAATTATTATCGCTGTTTCTGCTGGGATAATTTTGTTTTATAATGGGCAAAAGCAGTTTTGATTTTTAAAATATTATTTAAAGTAGCACGTGACAATAAATCCGTGATCGAGTCAAAGAGAAATCCATCCGTGACTGAAAGAACGCTTTTGAATTATT